AGGTGAGTGGATGGGTACATGTGTGGGTGGGTGGATGGGTGGATGGATGGGTGAGTGGATGGGCATATGGGTGGGTGGGTGGTTGGGTGAATGGGTGGATGGGTGGGTGAGTGGATGGGCATATGAGTGGGTGGGTAGATGGATGGATAGGTGAATGGGTGGATGGGTGGATGGGTGGATGGGCATATGGGTGGGTGGGTGGATGGATGGATAGGTGAATGGGTGGATTGGCAGTCATGGAATATGTGGGATCAGGAGGTGAATTATTGGGTTATTGGGCTCTGCTTTGATCATAGTGATGGTGGGGGTGGTGTTGTGATGCAGGCTGGCTTCATGGGCTTATTTGAAGTTTATGAAGCTCATGGAATTTTTCTATCACCCAGGTTGCCAGCTGACCATCACCGAGGGGTGAGTGTGGAGGAGGGATTTTGGAAGGGAGCACAAATGCCCAGATTGCTATCCGGAGCCACCTGTGTTGTAAGGAATTTGACCCGGCTCAGAAGCACAGACTTCCCTTTGGTCACACCATGCTGCTCTCCAGACACCTAGGAGCGGTCCCACCCCACCCTACACAGCGGGTCGTTTCCGTGGCCCCTCTCAGCTGACATGGGGCTGAGGTGCAGTTTGTCTCATTCTGCAAGATCCTTGCTTCAGACTGTCTTCTGGAAGACTTGGCACAGGCAGCCCCAGGTGGGAGGGTATATATAGAGGGAGCCCAGGTGGGAAGGTATGGAGAGAGAGCCCCCAAAAGCTTTTCTTCCCGTTCTCCACCTACAAAGCGTGAACGTCCCCCCACCTTGGCTGCTGGTGGGAATGGGCCCAGAGGGAAAGAGTTAAGTGGGGCCTGCTTTCTGGGGTCGAGCCTGCATTCCTTCTCCCAGAGATATGCCTGCTGTGGGGCCAGAGGCTAAATTTAGAAGGTAGCTCAGGTTTCCTGCTGACAGCTGTCCTGCCCCTCAGAGGAGAGGCCTGAGGAGACCAGTGGGGCCTCTCACTGGTCAGGCTTGTGGCATTGCCTCTGGGTCCCCCAGTCCTGGGAGACCGCCCTTGGTGTGGAGACCACAGATCCGCGGTGAGTGCGCTACCTTCTCCTTTCTGTCCCGTGGGCCCAGGACGCCCTGCCCAGGGAGCTGCTCTGGCCTGGGTGTGGGGCCCAGCCCCTCCTGGGACCAGCTCCGGGGAGTTCTCCTTCCTGAACGGGCTGGGGGTCGGTGCCTGGGCCAGAGACCCTGGAGGGCCAGCTGCCCCTCCCCCAGCAGAGGCAGAAAGTGTGTGTGTGTGTGTGTGTGTGTCTGTGTGTGTGTGTGTGTGAGAGAGAGAGAGAGAGAGAGAGAGAGCAGTCAGATGTCCATGTTTCAACAGAAGGACCTTTCTGGTCTGGGGAATTCACTGTCTTCAGTTTCCGGTCCCTCCCCCTCCCCCCAACCCCGCTTCCTTGCTGGCATCTGTGGACGCAGCCAAGTTGCCACTTAAGTCTTGTGACTCCGAGGCTGGCTCCTCCTCGGCCAGGGCGTGAGTCTCGGTGTCCTGGTGACAGTGGCTGGGCCCAGTGTGACTTGGTTTCCCCTGTGCGTCTTCTCACCAGGAGGGGACTAGCACGTGGTGACTACCCTCCCCCCCCCATTCCTAGGTCCATTGAGGCGACATCACCAACACACCCCTCCCCCAAAACGGATTCCTCAACTGCCTTTTTCACACCGAATATGCAGAGGCTGACAGGTGCCATGGCGGCCCGTGGGGACCCCGAGGAGGAGCAGGTGGTCCCAAGTGAGGAGGACGAAGGGGATGTGAGGGCCGTGCAGGCCCGGTACCTCCTGC